ATATATATATATATATATATATATATATATATATATATATATATATATATATATATATATATATATATATATATATATATATATATATATATATATATATATATATATATATATATATATATATATATATATATATATATATATATATATATATATATATATATATATATATATATATATATATATATATATATATATATATATATATATATATATATATATATAATGTTGCACCATGGTATGATTTAAACAGTCTTGCTTGTCTGAAAACATGTGTCGTGTTAATCACACGTTAATAAAATTATAGTCGTTAAAATTAATTTGTGCATTATTTTCGACAGCCCTACTGATTACATTAAGTTTTAAAACATTATTTAATTAATTATAAGACAATTTAGTAACATTTCTAGCTTGTGAATACTGTCAAGAACTTAAAAACGCAGAAACAAAAGTAATTTTGAGTATTTTAAAACAAATGTTGTTCTTGAAAGCTGGACATGTTTATAAAGTGTGAGAAAAAACATGGTTTTGGATGTTTAAAATCTATTTAATGGCCCAAAATAGCACAGAAAATGAGTGGTGCGTGAAAAACTTGAGCTCTGCCTGCAGTGTGTTGCCTTTAATAGATCTGAATTAGCATCATCCCGTCCCTAATTATAATAATGACAATAAAATCCTTCCACAGAAGGCGGAAAAACAATGAAAGCAGCCGGGTTTGATTGTAAATGCACTAATATTTAATTAAACATGTTAGCGTGTGTGTCGATTCAAGCGTTTATTGTGCATTTATTTATTTCCGTTCACCCACATGTGTATGAGGAATTTGGATGTGTGTCTTTAGGCTTGAGCACGAGTGTGTGTGTGTGTCTGTAGGCAGTGTGTGTGTGTGTGTGTGTGTGTGTTGTCTCTGTGGATCGGTGTCCCCGCTCGACGGCCTGTCATACTGGCTCTGTAAATCTGCAGCAGACATGAGAAGGGTCACGAGGGTGTGTGGGCACTGCCTTCGAGATGATAGCGAAACCATGACGATGACATGGCACGTCACCATGACAACACGGGGGATTGAGCCCCAAAAGCCAATGGAAGAAGCAGAGATACAATACGCGAGATACCCTAACACAGGTCCTGATGGTTTCCACTACAAACATCCAATCCCAACATCAGCATGTGTTTTGGGAGCTATTCCGTTAGGATTTATTGAGTTTAACATGAGACCAGTAGAAAACCAATACAATTCCCATTAAAACTGCAAATTCGATGATGGTTTATTTAGTTTTGTATGAGGTAGATAAATGTGAGCCCTAGAGATATTTCATGATTCGGAGATCCTTGTTTTTCTTGTCCTCTGTCGTCTCTCGCATGTCTTTATCTCTCCATTGCGCTGTGACAGGGCAGTAGAGAATGATTCATGATGGCTGTGCTTTAATGATGCTGTTTTTTTTCTTCTTCTTCGTAAATGAGAAACAGACAAGCTTGAACTCATCTCATAAGACCATAGTCTAATTACAGCCTAGCACACTGGTTTGGGAAACAAATTCTGTTTATTTCTTTCTTTTTATTGCAAGATCTCTTGAGCAATCGTCACTGTTTGCTGTTTCCCATGCTTACGGTGAGGGTATCGATTAAATGTTGTATCGTGAGCTGACATTATGAAATATGCCACAATTTATATAGCTACACTGTTTAAAAAATCCATAATTTTCTGGTTAAGCTGGGGTGCCGGAAAAAAAAACTAAAAGTAATGGCCATTAAATTACAGAAATTTACTGTCAAATAACGGATATTAAATTGCAGAAATTTACAGTAAAATAACGGACAATAAATTACAAAAATTTACCATAAAATAAGGGATGTTAAATTGCAGAAATGTACTGTAAAATAACAGATATCAAATTACAGAAAATTACCATAAAATAACAGATATTAAATTACAGAAATTTACAGTAAATTAACAAATATTGAATTGCAGAAATGTACCATAAATTAATGGACATTAAATAACTAAAATTTACCATAATTAAATGAATATTAAAATATTGAAATTTACTGTAAAATTACGGATATTAAACTGCAGAAAGTTACCGTAAATTACCAGACATTAAATTAAAGAAATTTACTGTAAAATAACGGACATTAATTTACAAAAATTTACCATAAAATAACGGATGTTAAATTGCAGATATGTACCGTAAAATAACAGGTGTTAAATTACAGAAAATTACCGTAAAATAACAGATATTACATTACAAATAATTATCATAAAATAACAAATAATTAATTACAGAAATTTACAGTAAAATAACAAATATTAAATTACAGAAATGTACAGTAAAATAACAAATATTAAATGACAGAAATTTACAGTAAAATAACAAATATTATATTGCAGAAATTTACCGTAAAATAATAGACATTTAATTAGAGAAATATACTTTAAAATAACAGATATTAAACTGCAGAAATTTACCGTAAAATGATGGATATTAAATTACTAAAATTTACCATAAATAAACGAATATTAAAATATTGAAATTTACTGTAAAATAACAGATATTAAACTGCAGAAAGTTACCGTAAATTAACAGACATTAAATTACAGAAATTTACCAGAAGTTCAAATTTGAAGAAATTTCTGTAATTTAATATCCGTTATTTTATGATATATTACTGTAATGTAACGGCCTTTATTTCATGGTTTTTTTTTTTTTTTGACACCCCAGCTGCCGGAAATAAACCGTAAAATTATGGATTTTTTTTACAGCCTGATTCTTCATGTAGAATTGGCTGTAGGTAAAAAGAGCTCTCTGATAAGCTGTTCAACTATGAATCAGAGCATGACAACAAAATCCAAATGACCAAAACTGACCAAAGTCAGTTGGTTGTGATTGCGTCGCATTTCTTAAATGTTAGCAAACAATAGGGATTATAACGCTGTATTTAGGCATGGGCCGGTATAAGATTCTGACAGTAGGATAACCTTTGATAAAAATATCAACATTTATAATTATTTAGAGCAGCAAACATGTCAGGCTAAATAATTCAAATCAATCTTTGACTTCTGCTGTCGTCATTTGTTTCAAAAACACACATTTCTTTACCATTTAAAACCTTGCGGTTTTAAAACCTTGACTTTTCCAAACCGCAGCATACCTTGAAAACGGTTATCGTCCCATGCCTAGCTGTTTTTCACACCAGATTCAGTGTGGGCAAATAAATCACGCTATTCATACGCAAACGGTTTGAGTTTTCTCACTTCATTCGCACGTCAAATTCATTTCACAATAGACACGAATTTGTGTGATGTGCGGGGCTTCTGTCTGCCTGGTGACTTTAGCTTTGTTCCTAAATGGCTACCAAGGATTTTATTAAGAGAGTAGCTGCATTTATGTGCTTTAGGAAGGCTGAAAAACCGTAACGTGCAGGCTACATTTTGCTCATAGGGCTGTGAGACAATTAATAAGAAGATCAGAGCTGCGGCAAAATAATGAATAAAAAGAGCGAGGCTATGGTCAAATAAATAAATAAATGGAAAAAAAAGTGCGACCGACTTTTGCTTTCTCCGTTCGCCATGCTGGAGGGGAACAGTCTGTGCAAATAGAACGCAGAGTTGTTGTCATCGACTACAGCTCTCATCTGATTGGCTGAAAGGTACGAGTCGCCCTGCCTCTGGCAGGAGAGTCTCAAAAACACACACACACGTATCCAGGGGGAGTCGTATGTGAAAAAGGATTTGCACATTCTCCTTCAGGATGAACTCACAAGTTTTAAACATTCTAAACTTTTTTGTACGCTCCTATACATTTGCAAATGGTGTTTTGCATTTGTGAAACGTATTTTATGAAAATGTATTTTTATTTCATGCACGTGAATTTTT